CGGTAGGTATATCTATAGTTATGGGTGGTTAACAGGTTATAATTGGCGAGGGGAAGCACCTTTTTTTGGTTTGCCGTAGTAAGTATGACATCATACAATTGAGAACATAACACATCCATATGGAAACTTCCTGGAACGTCGAAGGCTTCCCGTCCGGAAAATGATTGAGAACCTAGTGGATTCAACATAGATTCTGCCAGCCAAATGGAGTTGGAAGACTACGACTGCCAAGAAACATGAGTGATTCTTAAGGGTCTATGTTCGTGGGGGGTGATGCTCGCGCTCAAATTGAAAGACAATGAGATAAGAGAGGCCAGCATTAGTAACTGCTATTTATATTCATTTCTATGTTTGTTGAGTCCATGGAAATCTAATCAGATCCATGCATTTCTGCTAGCAGTTGAGTTGGAAGCCACTTCCAGCTTTACCCCAAGGCCTTCTATTTTTTTGGGGTTAGCCCCTTTGAATCCTGGCATGGGAGCCTTAGATTTCCATGGATGTTCCGAATCGTTTTTTCCGAAGCCACCAGTCATCTCTCCATCTGACAGGATCTGACGAATTGCCATGAATTGCCTGGCTTACAAGCTCGGGCTAATTATAAGATGTTATAAGTTGATCGCACTTCCCATTTTTTGGAAGAATGTATTACTATTATCTACTATAAGTCCTAGTTAGGTTACCCCCATATTCATTAATGATTAGTTAGTTTGCAAACTATCTTTCATGAGTGTAATCCTACATAGTCGGTGGTTTCCATAGGGCTACCCCCAGTCATCATCCAGCTTTTCATGCAAGGTGGTGCCCCATAGTTAGCTAAGTTGGTTTATAACTCCCATAACTTTGGTTTATGGCAGATTTAACTATAGTTAATGGGGTTTATAAACCAACTTATAACTGGGGGGCCTCACAATTGTGGGATTCTCCCTTTTAAAGCATCCAGCTATTGGGGTACCCCCCATGACTTTTCGGACACCCGTTGCAATCCTCCTCCCCCTTTTGTCGAAGGCCAGCCGCAAGGAAAAAGGTCGGGACACTTTTGGTTGTCCGAAACTCGACGCAAAAATTGTGCGGAGCTCATGTATTTAAACCTGAAAAAGTTTGCCGAAGACCTGAAAGTGAACCTGAACTTCAAGGACCTTCGACTGTGTTTTATAATGTGTTTGACACGGAAAGTGAAAGGATACCAAAAGGCCACCCCACCAACCACAAAAGACATAAGGCCTGACTATTGACCACATGCTTAGGAGCTTATTAAGCCCCTTGTTGGGAGGGTTACCATTGCGAAAGTAATCTTTAACTTACACGATGAATGGGTCAGTTTGTGCGTGGCTTAAAAGTTAAAACCTATTAATATGTATTGGCCCATCATTTGGGGAATGAACATCAATTTACATCCATTTCCCAACTTTGTAAAATGAACTAAGTTATTAAGTTGACCCCATAATTGGTTGTGCTTCAGCCATACAAAAAGGAGCTTGACATTACGAGCAGATGTTGCTCAACCACCAGATCAGGTGGTTGGAGACTAGCTGTGAAACTGCTGGAGTTTCTGAGGGAAGAAAACGTTGTTTTTTTCTGCAAAGCAACAGGTGCAGTTATGGCCCGTAACAGTTCTACTTATGGCCCAACTAACAGTTATTTCTATGGGCTTATTTCATGATATATTTCACCAGCTAGCGGAGTTAGTTCAGTCCATTTATACCATACCATAACTGTTGGTTGTGCAAAGGCCATAAGTGGTGGTGAAAGTTCTGAAAGATGGCCCATTCTTTGCTGAGCTCGATGTTTGTGGCCTTTAGATCACCACTTTGGGTGATGGAAAAACTCATCAAATCACACCAAATTCATATGTGAATGTTTGGTCCTTGTATGTCCTTGTCATCATTTGATGATTGTGTTTGACAAATGTCCTTTTACTTGGTCCTTTTTCATTTTGACCTTCCATGGTTTCATAATTAACATTAAGGCATATTAAATCCCTTTTTCCCCTGTCCTTCCATTATGCTTGGCAGTCGATGAGGACATTTTTAAAGCCGCTGCCGCAGCAATTCCTTAGTCACTTACGCGAAGAAGCACCAGAGGAGAGCGGTCAAACGGTGCCGTGGTGGGCTAGGTTTCAGTCGTTTTTTAATACTCATAGGTATACATATTATTATTAGTATATGTTTGTTTCAAATATTAGTAATATAATATAATATACCAGTAGTACCCGCACGAGGCGGGGCGGAAGTTGCCTTAAAGATATATATATATATATATAACACCTTTCTCATCTATAGAACTTGCGTGCGCCGTGCGCCAGCCAAGCCCGTGCGTGCGTGCATTCTGCGAAAGTGGTGTCCTGGTGCACATGTCGCATTTGAAGCTCCACTTTGCACTTCACACTTCTCACTGCGTCTTCACACTCCACACTTCACACTTCACACTCCACACCCCACACTTCACACTGCATTCTTCGCACTCCACACTTCACACTTCACACTGCACTCTTCCCACTCCACATGTCACACTTCACACTTCACAGTCCACACTTCTCACTTCTCACTGCTTTCTTCACACTCCACACTTCACACTGCGCTCTTCACGCCCCACACTTCACACTGCACTCTTCACACTCCACACTTCATCTCATCTGAGCTCTTCTCACCTTATCCCAGCTCATCTCTTCTCATGTGTCATCTAAGTTTTCATGAATCACGTCCCAGTACTACTACTAAGGAACTTGATTCTTGCTTCTTGGCGTGCACTGCAAACAAGGATTCAACACTTGCTGCGCCAAAGGATTGCAATTCTACTCTTCTTCGATCAAGGATCTCCACGAACTTGTCGATCGAGCAAATCGATGCAACACACAGCTGTGCTTCCTATCTTCATCCAGCTTTTCATAGCTCCGTCGTCAAAAAATTCTGCCAAATACATATTCTGGCTTACCTGTACGCTCAGCCACACACATGAGTTCAAGCAACGTCGACTTTTGCATAGCTTTCAAGACATCTCTATTATTTTCAAGCATTTTGATAAAACGATAGAACTGCTGCTGCAAAGCTTGCGGTACCATAGCTTCTTGCACGCAATTTGTTCTTTCCCATTCTTTGAGCACGTCTTCTTATGTGATCTACCACCCTTCATCAAGGTCAATTCCATAGCTTCTTATTCTTTGTTATGTATTGTGATGTTATGTATTGTTGTGTGATCTACCACCCTTCATCAAGGTCAATTCCATAGCTTCTTATTCTTTTGTTATGTATTGTCATGTTATGTATTGTTGTGTGATCTACCACCCTTCATCAAGGTCAATTCCATAGCTTCTTATTCTTTTGTTATGTATTGGCATGTTATGTAATGTTATATGATCTACCACCCGTCATCAAGGTCAATTCCATAGTCTCTTATTCTTTTGTTATGTATTGTTATGTTATGTATTGTTAGATCACGTACGACCCTTCATCATTTCAAGTCTCAGAATTCTATTTGTCCGTAAAACGGAAGTATTGCTTCCCAGCTTCCTTTGATAATATCATATAATAAAATAATATAATATAATATAATATAATACAATATAATTAATATAATTAATATAACATAAATTAATATAATTAATAAAATATATTTTAATATAATTTAATATAATATGATATAACATAACATAATATAATATAATATATTTCAATTAATTTAATATAATATAATTTAATATAATATGATATAACATAACATAATATAATATGATATAATATATATAATATAATAGAATAGAACATAATATAATATCATATAATATAATATAATACAATGTAATTTAATATAATATAATATAATATAATATAATTTAATTTAATTTAATATAATATAATATAATATCATATCATATCATATAATATAATATAATATAATACAATATAATTTAATATAATATAATATAATATAATTTAATATAATATAATTTAATTTAATATAATATAATATAATATATAATATAATATAATATAATATAATATAATATATATATAGATAGATATAGCAGCCCCAAACAGTTGGAAACCTGGAAACACTTGTTCTATACATTGTTTTGCATTTAAGCACATGTGTGGCATGGCCAGAAGATGCAGGAGTCCCAAGAACAGCTGGGATCACCGCAGCCAATATAGCCCGGACATGCCTCGTGCCTGACGTTTGTTATGAACATAGTCCCCCTATGCTTCATACATTTTAAGATTTCTGACTTGCCATGAATTGATAGTTCATAGTAGCAGCTCACCCCCCAAAGGAATACATTTTTGTGCTGCTGCAGGGCAGGTTCCCCCCATGTGCAATTCAATCACAATCATAGCCTTCTTGGCACCTCTTTCCGTCGCGAACCTTGACCACCTGTCCCCCTACTTCTCATACATTTGATATAAATGTATGCAGTGGGGGGTGTATGTAGACGGAAAATTGCCTTAACATGTTGTGTCTCGGAGAAAAAAAACAAAAAATGTTGTACAAATTAGGGAGCAAGATGACCCACAAGCGTTGCGACATTTGAGTCAGTATCTGCGAGCCAAACCAGAGTGGAATCTTCTGCCTGATCTTTTTTCTTGGTCAGATCTTGAGCCGCGATGTCTTCCTTTTTGATGCCGCCCACGTTTGACAGACGGTGTGGCGGGGTGACTCGGCTTTGGCCTTGACATCGGCCTGTGCTATGAGGGTACCGCCACCGTCAACACGCCTTGAGCCCTTGCACGAGACTCCGAGCGTAGAAAAAATCGGGTGACGCTCAGATAGCTTAGGATCCAGCCATCGCACCCGTCTCATGGTGATTACACGGGGTTATACTATCCAAGGTGAACATATTGAGGACTGCACAATCCACTGTGGGAAATAATCAGTTCCTAACCGACCTGTTTTTTGTTTCCTGTCCTCCTGTCCTCCAAACCCATAGATTTTCCCATATTTTGGGTAAAAAATGCCCCATGAATCTTTGTAAATCCCCATGATATCCCCAGGTTTTCTGTGCCCAGGAGCCTCCGCCCCCAGATCGCCCCGACCGCCGCCTGCGCGCCGCAACTGCTGCCCCCGCGCCCAGTTTGGCCCTGGCCCCGGGATTGCCAGTACCCTCAATGCCAGCGCTGCTGAGCATGGAGTTTCCTGGACCGCAGCGCGTGCAGCCAAAGGTGGAAACCAGGTACCGAAGATGTCGGGGAAATGACTGAACATGTGATTTTCTATCATGAATGACATATGTTTTAATTTAATACTGTGTATGTATATATATGTATATATATAGAGACATATATATATATATATATATTTACATATATAATGCTGACCCCGGATTAATAACCACCCCCCCCCTATAGGCCAACTAGGTCAACAAGGTCCAGTGTGGAGGTCCAAAAACCGAACCCCCCAAAAATAATTGACCAATCATTCATCCATAAACGATTATTATACGATTCCTATGGGAAAAGATTGGAAAACCAATGATAAACCATCAGATTCCTATGAGAAAAGATCAGAAAACCTATGGTAAACCATCAAATTCTTATGAGAAAAGATTAGAAAACCTATGGTAAACCATCAAATTCCTATGAGGGAAGATGAGAAAACCTATGATAAACCATGAAAATCCTATGAGAAAAGATCAGAAAACCTATGGTAAACCATCAGATTCCTATGAGAAAAGATGAGAACACCTATGATAAACCATCAGATTCCTATGAGAAAAGATGAGAAAACCTATGATAAACCATCAGATTCCTATGAGAAAAGATGAGAAAATCTATGATAAACCATCAGATTCCTATAAGAAAAGATGAGAAAATCTATGATAAACCATCAGATTCCTATGAGAAAAGATGAGAAAACCCATGATAAACCATCAGATTCCTATGAGAAAAGA